CAGTGCATGAGACGATGCTCAACCAATTGAGCCACACAAGCCAGGGTGTTGACTAACAATTTTAAGAGGAATCATCTTTTTTTTTTTTTTTTTTTTTTGTGGGAGGGTTAATCCTCAGCCGAGGATATTTTCCCATTAATATTTAGATAGAGTAGAAAGGAGAGAGGGAAGAGAGGATGGTGAGAGAAAGAGAGAGACAGAGAGAGACAAACAGACAGACATTGATTGGCTGCCTCCCAGAGGACCCCAACTGGAAATATGCAACCGAGGTACATGCCCTTGCCTGGGAATCAAACCCTCGACCCTTTTGTCTGCTGGCTGATGCTCTAACCGCTGAGCAAAACAGCCAGGACAAGAGGAATTATCTTTATAGGCTATAATTTAAAGAATTTAACAGAAATTTGCAATGATGAACAACCCAAAATATCATCTAAAACATGCTGCTATCAGAAACACATTCTTTACATGGCTGAAACATCCCAAAGGAGAGCTTGATGATCAGTGAAACTGAAGATAATGACAACCAATATTTATTCAAGTACTCTAATAAATGCTCAATTTTATGAAAGGGACTAGGATTTCTCCAAAAAGCCTGTTTGCAAATGACCAAATATCTTTTTATCATACTTTTAAACTATGAAAACAGTGACTGGTTCAAAATGAGTCAAAACAGTTCTCATATATGAGGAATAAGTCTAAAGCAGGTTTTAGCAAACTATGGCTCATGGGCCAAATCTAGCTCATCACCTGTTTTTCTATAGTGTCAGAGGTAAGGATGATTTTTACATTTGTAATGGTTGAAGAAAACTATGAATACTATTTCATGACACATGAATATTATATGAATTTCAATGCCCATCAATAACGTTTTGCTAAAATACAGCCACAATGATTGGTTTACACATTGTCTGTGGCTGCTAATGGCTTACAGTGACAGAGCTGAGAAAGCATGACAGGGATGACACAATCCACAGAGCCTGAACTATTATTTCCTGTGTGAACCATTCCAGAAAAGTTTGCCAACTCTGACCTAAAGAGGGCGAATGTTTGAAGGGACAGGAATGGTGGCCTACACATTTAATATTCAGAAATGCTTAGAAATCTAGCCACAAGGCAAAGAAATAAGAAGCATAATAAGAGAAAGCTAATAAAAAACAGCTGAATCAAAAGAGTAATCAGTTTGAGGGGAATATAAGTGATTCCCCTGCCTCTGGAAGGTATTATATTCTCTGTAAAAGCAGTATTTTCTTGTTCAGCCACAAGAAGTGCAACAACTATTTGCACTTCTGTAAGTTACCGCCAATTTTTACCCCAAATAATCACAATAAAATCATATCTATGAAATATTTTTGTGGTTGCTATGGGACTAACTGTGACATCAAGAGAGCATCATGTAAGAGCAATGACAGGACAGGGAGAAGTAACAAAGGGGTACTGTGAGCTGCCTCAAGAGGGTAAGAATTATAATTAGAAAGAAAAGCCTTATAAAATAAATGTATCTAAAGTTATTTTAGCCCTGGCTGGTTTGGCTCAGCAGTTAGAGCGTCGGCCTGCGGTCCGGAGACACCCGGGTTCAGTTCCCACTGAGGGCACGTACCTTGGTTGCAGTTTGTCCCCGGCCCTGGTTGGTTGTGCGGGTGGCGACCACTCGATGTGTCCCTTTCACATCGATGTTTCTCTCTCTCTCCCTCCCACTCTACCTGAACAAAAAATGGAAAAATGTCCTTGGGTGAGGATGATAAAACAAAAAAAAGAAAAGAAAAAAAGAGATTGTTTATATTACTCTTCATTTATAAGCTGCAGTACATAATGCTAAAAATATTTCACAATGCAGACTATAAAATTGTAAGAGCACTCCCTAGGACTAAAATCAGCCTTTGCTTCTTCCTCTTCATCTGGAACTGACATGCTATAACAAAATCTGGTGTGGCTTAGTTCAAATTAACAAACCATATGTGAAGTTATCTTATGAGATGCAGTTAAAAGATGACAAATTCAAACTAAATTTCCCTAAAATGTACATGATGATTTCTATCACCATTGCTAATGGATATTTGAAATAATTGTCTCCATTTTTCGACACCAGATTAGTGTTTCCATCTGATTATTGTAAGAAAAATTTAATTGAAGGGACAAAGGGTTTAACCAAAAATTAAACAATAACAAAATTTTGTCATTTTAGAAGAGGTATTTTAAAAGAGAGAAGAATGCAATGAATTTGAACATGCTATTGAAAATCTTTTCAAGTTCAGCAAATGAACTTCTAAAAAAAAAGTCAAACATTGACTTTGATATATCAAGTTTTGCTTAGAAAACAGTATCTCAAAAAAGAGGTATAAACCCACACTTGTCTTAGGAAATAGCACCACTGTTCTGAAAATAAGCTAAAGACATTTAGTGCTGTCCCTTACCTCCAACTCTGCTTCTAACACCTCTTCAGTGGTTCGGGTCCGATCTTTTGGTTTCTTCCATATCTTTGGTGCATTTATAGCTGTTTGAGCTGAAATATAAGATCAGGCTGCCATTACTTCCCACTGCAAAGTTATGCTTGCAAATATTAGGTCTGAATGATACCTGTATTCAAATTTAGCAGAAGAAAAGAGGGCTTTCACCCATACTGAGGTGATAGATGAATGATAATGTGAACAACTGTGTAGCTGTGGCTCAGAGGTTGCAATGGCAATTGTCTTGGGCACAAATTATTCTCATCAGCTCATGTAGCCTTCCATCCAGTGGCCTAAGTTCTTCCTCCTACTTCATGGTTAGGACATACCTAGGCACATAATTCAGTAAATGGTGATTATCTACATAGGAAACTGGCCTACCAGCCCATTCTAGATGTGGCTCTGCTTCTATTGCTCATCAACTATGTGATCTTAAGCAACTCATACTTGTTAGGCCCCTGAATATTCAACTATAAAGTGTAAGAGTGAAATTAGATGATATCCAAGGATCCTTTTGAGCTACAAAAATATTAAATCTCAGATTCTGTTTTTAAAGTTTTCTAGACAAAGGGATACTTTGAGATATCCTTTGATAGGCAACACTTCTACAACATTCAATTCTCATTCCAGATCAATACTGTTGGTTTAGTCTTTTATATTGCTGGGGTGAAAATTAGGGAAGAAAACATTTTTTACTGAACTATTCTATTGTATTAGAAGGTCTAGATGGAAAGTTAGACTTACAAAATATTTTTCAAAAGTCATGTCTTACAAATTCCAAAAAAATCATCCAACACTTGGATGTACAACTTAATCACCAGATAGCATACAGAATACGTTAAAAGGAGCCCAGTAAGACAAGCACCATATGATTTCACTCATATGTGGAATTTAATGAACAAACTAAACTACCAAGCAAAATAGAGACAGACTCAGAGAGAGCAGGCAGGCAGCTCTAGTGGTGGTAGGGGAGGTCTTGGGGGTGTGTGTGAAGGGACTGAGCAAAAAATAGAGAGAGAGAGAACTCGTGGACAAGGACAACAGGTGTGGTGATGGTGGGCTGAAGGGAGGGAGATGAGTGGAGGTAGAAGAGCGCATATAGGTGAGAAATGGTGATGGAAAAATTTAATTAAAAAAAAAAAAAAAAAAAGGGCTGCCCGGCCAGTGTGGCTCACTGGTTGAGCATCAACCCATGCACCAATAGGTCACAGGTTCAATTCCTGGTCAGGGCACAAGCCCAGGTTGTGGGTCTAATCCCCAGTGGAGGGCTTGGAGGAGGCGGCCAATCGCTGTTCTCTCTCATCGATGTTTCTATCTCTCTCTCCCTCTCCCTTCCTCTCTCTCTAAAACCAATAAAGAAAAAATATTAAAAATAAAGAAAGGAGGAACCTAGAGAGAAGGCAACACATAAGTTAACAGATAGAAAAGAGGTATTATAGGCTGGTGGGTAGGGAGAGGAGGCAAAGAAAAGCCATTTTATAGAGACATTATCAAAAGTGAATAAACACCAAGCCAATTCTCTACAGACATACAAGATCATTCACTTAGACTAAACCAACCACTCTAATGTTAGAGAGCCTCAAATCTTTTTTTGGAAGAACAGTAGAAGAGGAATACTCACACTGTTTTTAGGAACAACAGAAAGGAGACATTTAACACACTTCTCAAAATTACTGTACCATCATAAAAAAGAAAAAAGAAAGAAACTGCCCAGCCAGTGTGGCTCAGTGGATTGAGCATCATCCCATGGACTGAGAGAGGTCCTGGTTCGATTCCCAGTCAGGGCAAATGCCCAGGCTCTGGGCTTGTTTTCTAGTGGGGGGCGTGTAGGAAGCAGCCGATCGATATCTCTCTCACATTGATGTTTATGTCTCTCTCTCCCTCTAAAAAAAAAAAAAGAAAAGAAAAAACCACTGTAAACTCCTTTGTTACACATACCTCAAACCAATTTTTCTTTATCCTTCCCCTCAGGGACCACAATGAACAAGAACACATTATTAGACCAGCTCTTATTCTTCCTCTGTGGCCTACTGAAGGTAAACCATTTCCTTAAAGTATGAAACTCAGATTATGGTTACTGTGGGTGGGTTTAAATCTGCTATGGCTTCACAGTCTTATATTAAATAGATATTCATGTGCATGTGCAGGTAGTAGTGGTCTCTTCCTTTTTTATGGATCTTCTGATTTGTAAACCAGTCTGTTTTATGTGCATCTCTCCTAGATGCTTGTGATTGATTCTTCCATAGCAGAATACTTTTTAAGAGTTGGAGAAACCTGTACATTTCATTTCACACATGTATGAATTCAGCTCTAAATCCCATTCATGGAAAAGGGGAAGAACATTTTCTGGAGAATTTTTTGGGATCAAATATAAACTCATCTGCTTCTAAACAACAAAAACCAAGAATATATCAAATGTACCCAACCCACAAACATTAAAACATTTCTTCTATGGGTAACATACTACATTTAGTATGCTTAAAAAAAATAGCTACTTACATGGCAGGTATCATTAGTACTTTAAAGCAGTAATCCACCACTAGAGGTGAGAGAAAGCATACACCTCTTCAGAAGGTAATCAGTCCTTTTAAAAACTGAACATAGCACACCTAGTGTCTACTGAGATTGATAAACATCCCCTCTTCTATTGTTGATGGAGATGTGCAGTAAAATCTGCGTGGGCTAAAAGAAGCGGAAGGAAGAGAGCAAAGGAGGGAGGGAGAGACACAGACACACAGATACCGACTCCCTCTTTTAAAGGGATAGTATTGCAGAACTAGCTACAATAAGGAAATTAAATTTAAGGCACTCGCCCAGCCGGTGTGGCTCAGTAGCTGAATGTCGAACCATGCACCAAAAGGTCGCCTGTTCAATTACCAGTCAGAGCACATGCCCAGGTTGTGAGCAAAATCCCCAGTGGGGGGCATGCAGAAGGTGGCCAATCAATACTCTCTCTCATCAATGTCTCTATCTCTCTCTCCCTCTCCCTTCCTCTCTCTCTAAAATCAATAAAGAAAAAAAAATTTAAGGTACTGTCTCAGATTTTTCTTTCCTTTCTCGTCCATTCCCAATACTACACCTTAGATTAGGCCCTTATTACTGCATTTATTTAATGAGACAGTCTCTCAATTCACTGCCTTTGATTCTTTAATTCATCATGTAAAATACTGACTGAGTGATGACTATTCTAAATAATTGATTTGGCTGGGTTATTCTTGTACTTAAAATGTTCTTTAAGGCATCATCCATAGGGCCAAGAAAAATTCCCTACATGGGGTGGGTATTCAAATGTACTGATTGATCAAATAATAGCAACACTGTGTGGAAGAGGTATTACTGACATTGTGAAAACAAAGACAAGATTCTTTCCTTCTTGTGGTGCATTAAAGCACTGCAGGACAAGTGACAATCTCTGCATGAGATTCATAATCATCTGAACCTAGAGATGCCTAAAGCAGCCTTCCCCAGCCTCCATAAAAACTCAACTCTTATAGGCACATTTAATTTCTACTATTTTAAAATACACACATAAAAAATATAAACAAAAAAGCAATACTATGATTTAAAGATTTTTTGCAAATTTTTACATTATTGGCAGAAAAATCATGTTTTTCTTCAGAGCTTATTTTATGAAATGATTAATGTATAAGTTCAGAAAAACACTAGGGACACAGGCAAGCCTAATCATTGGGTTTTAGGAAGATCTTTGTCTTCTCTGTCAGACATTTTAGAATTTATTTCAGGAATTGCATCATTAGAAATGTTCCCACATTTTCAACTCTTTACCCTATGAATGGAATAGACTCCAGAAAATTGTGCTACATCGCAACTGTTGTAACTGGCAATGACTCTGTTTTAAAAAAGAAAAGCACAATGCAGTCACATTTTTCTGCTATCTGTAAGATGCCTGACAAGTCGTACCTGTAAGTGGAAGAGTCCCTTGTTTTTCACTTACTTTTTATATAGGTTCTACTGGAGTCAAGTTGCTATTCTTGCAAAGTAAGAACTAACAACTCTCTGTCTGCAACCTAGGAGATAACTACTGGCCTTGGAGAAAAGAGGCTAATCTACAAGATTCATAAATGTACTGGGTTTTATTAAACCCATATAAGTTTGCAAAAACAATCTTCCACAATGCCTGAGGAAAAAACTGTTATGTAAGGTGGTAGATCATATAAAAATGGAAAAATTAAGAGTAGTTAAAAGACAGAAATATAAGGCATCCTGAGAAACTGCTCTGTAAAAACATGATGTCAAACACATAATCTCTTCCTTTTCTTTGCAGGAGTATCTTAAGAGAAACTCCAAGAACTTAAGTCATGGTTTCTAGTCTGGAATCCTGCCTGACTCTCAGATGTCAGAAATGTTGCATAGTAAGTACAAGAATGCTGTACATTACTGCTATCACTGGCATAATAATATTTTGATTTCTGGGTTATTTTTACTTCTTTTAGTCCTGTTGGTCCTTATATAAATATGACAAGTAACCTTTTTTTAAAAAAAATTTTTATTTATTTTTTTAGAGAGAGAGGGGAAAGGAGGAGAGAGAGAGAGAAACATCAAGCGGCTGCCTCCTAGATGCCTTCATCTCAAGGTAATTCCACTAGCGATGCAAGTCTGAAAACAACTTTTACTAAAGATAACATATTGATAAAGTTAAAATTGCTTCTCTTTACTATATCACTTCTTTTTTATTACTTTTTATCTACTAGTCAGGTAGGTACACAAGTAAACTGTAAGGGTTTAAAAAATTTCAATATTTTCTGCCCTGGCCAGTTTGGCTCAGCGGTTAGAGCGTCGGCCTGCGGTCCGGGGAGACCCGGGTTCGGTTCCCGCTAAGGGCATGTACCTCGGTTGCAGTTTGTCCCTGGCTCTGGTCAGTCGTGCGGGTGGCAGCCACTCGATGTGTCCCTTCACGTCGATGTTTCTCTCTCTCTCTGTTCCTCTCTCCCCCTCCGACTCTACCTCAACAAAAAATAGAAAAAAAAAAAAAAATGTCCTCGGGTGAGGATAAAAAAAAAAAAAAAAAAATTCAATATTTTCTGGTGCCGAAAAG